GAAGAGTACAACCATTGTGATGGGATCCCTGGATTTGAAAGTTCTCGTAATCCATCCTATCATTTTTCTGGCTGTCGCAATATTTGCTTGGTTATGCTCCTTAAACGTTAGGTCGTCCGACATTATTATTCCCAAATCCTTTACATGCTGTTTTCCTACTATGGGTACATTTGATTGTGTTTTGTACTCTGTATTATGTTTAAGGTCCTCATTTTTACCGTACCTGAGTACCTGGAATTTATCACTGTTAAACATCATGTTATTTTCTGATGCCCAGTCGAAAACTTTATTAATATCAGCTTGAAGTTTTTCAATGTCCTCAGCCGAGGTAATTTTCATACTGATTTTTGTGTCATCTGCAAAGGATGATACGAAGCTGTGACTTGTATTTTTGTCTATATCTGATATGAGAATAAGGAAAAGCAGTGGTGCAAGGACTGTACCCTGAGGTACAGAGCTTTTCACTGCACTTGGACTAGATTTTATATGGTTGACAGTTACTCGCTGAGTCCTGTTTGACAGAAAACTGAGTATCCAGCGTCCTACTTTACCGGTTATTCTCATTGACTTCATTTTGTGTGCTATCACGCCATGGTCACATTTATCGAAGGCCTTTGCGAAGTCCGTGTATATCACATCAGCATTCTGTTTCTCTTCTAATGCCTCAGTGACTTTGTCGTAGTGATCAAGTAGCTGTGAGAGGCACGATCTTCCCGCTCGAAATCCATGTTGGCCTGGGTTATGAAGGTCATTGGTCTCCATGAAATTGGTGACCTGACTCCTAATCACTCTCTCAAATACTTTTATGATGTGCGATGTTAGTGCAACTGGTCTATAATTTTTTGCCAATGTTTTGCTCCCTCCCTTGTGTAGAGGGGCTATGTCTGCTACTTTAAGTGCATCTGGTATCTCCCCAGTGTCCAAGCTCTTCCTCCACACTATACTGAGTGCCTGTGCTACCGGCACTTTGCATTTCTTTATAAATATTGAATTCCATGAGTCTGGACCTGGGGCCGAGTGCATGGGCATGTTTTCAATTTCTTTTTCAAAATTTAGTGCGCTCGTGGTTATATCAGTTATATTTACCGGGGTTTGAATATCCCGCATAAAGAAAATGTCTGGATCTTCCACCTTCATGTTGTTTATTGGAGTGCTAAACATGTCCTCATACTGCTTTTTTAGGATTTCACTAATTTCTTTGAATTGCTGTGGCCCTCCGCCTTGCTGCCCCAATCCACACCAGATATATGTGTATTTGCGGCGAGGTGGTGGCTGACAGGTACGGCCACCATGGCCTACTCTGCCAAAGCACAGGGGGATGGCACTCGAGGCACAGTGAAGTTAACGACATCATCAAGAGGAGCCTCACCACAGCTGGATGCCCAGCTGAAAGAGTGCCCCGTTACCTAACGCCCCGTAACTCTGATGCTCTTATTGGTCGCCCGGATGGTATCACAGTGAACCCCTGGAAGAATGGCAAGCAGTTGGTATGGGACTACACGTGCGTATCAACCCTGGCTAACACCTACATTAACCTCAGTGTTGCACAACCAGGTGGCGCTGCCACCCACAGGGAAGCAGCCAAATCCCGTAAGTATAGAGAACTGGATCACCACTACAATTTTGTCCCCATTGCTTCTGAGACACTCGGCGCCTGGGGTAAAAGTGCTACCAGTTTTTTGAAGGAACTGGGTTCTAGGCTCATTGAAACAACAAGGGACCCGAGAGCTGCAAGCTTTCTTTGCCAGCGCCTCAGTGTGGCGATACAGAGGGGAATGTGCACTGCATCCAGGGTTCCTGCCCTCCATCTGAGGAGCTGGAGGAACTCGACAACCTATGACAACCATCTTTGTAACCCATATGTAACTCCTTTTTTGTAACAAAGTTCAAATAAAGTAAATATATATGTGTACATACAAAAGAATGGGGGTGGTAGGAGAAGATAATATTAGTGTTCAATGAGAAACCACAAGGTCTCCTCTGAATACTTTTTATTTTCTTCTCCGAGGCCATGGGTCCCCACATTGGCACCAGAGGTGGTACCCTCACAAACTTAAAAAAAAAAAAAAAAAAAAAAAAAAAAAAAAAAAATTGTATGTATATATATATATATATATATATATATATATATATATATATATATATATATATATATATATATATATATATATATATATATATATATATATATATATATGTCGTACCTAGTAGCCAGAACGCACTTCGCAGCCTACTATGCAAGGCCCGATTTGCCTAATAAGCCAAGTTTTCATGAATTAATTATTTTTCGACTACCTAACCTAACCTAACATAACTTTTTCGGCTACCTAACCTAACCTAACCTATAAAGATAGGTTTATATATATATATATATATATATATATATATATATATATATATATATATATATATATATATATATATATGTCGTACCTAATAGCCAGAACGCACTTCTCAGCCTACTATTCAAGGCCCGATTTGCCTAATAAGCCAAGTTTTCATGAATTAATGTTTTTTCGTCTACCTAACCTACCTAACCTAACCTAACCTACCTTTTTTTGGCTACCTAACCTAACCTTACCTATAAATATAGGTTAGGTTAGGTTAGGTAGGGTTGGTTAGGTTCGGTCATATATCTACGTTAATTTTAACTCCAATAAAAAAAATTGTCCTCATACATAGAGAAAAGGGTTGCTTTATCATTTCATAAGAAAAAAATTATAGTAAATATATTAATACAGGAAAACTGGGCTTATTAGGCAAATCGGGCCTTGAATAGTAGGCTCAGAAGTGAGTTCTGGCTACTAGGTACGACATATATATATATATATATATATATATATATATATATATATATATATATATATATATATATATATATATATATATATATGTCGTACCTAGTAGCCAGAACGCACTTCTCAGCCTACTATGCAAGGCCTAATTTGCCTAATAAGCCAAGTTTTCATGAATTAATTATTTTTCGACTACCTAACCTACCTAACCTAACCTAACCTAACTTTTTCGGCTACCTATCCTAACCTAACCTATAGAGATAGGTTAGGTTAGGTTAGGTAGGGTTGGTTAGGCTCGGTCATATATCTACGTCAATTTTAACTCCAATAAAAAACAATTGACCTCATACATAATGAAATGGGTAGCTTTATCATTTCATAAGCAAAAAATTAGAGAAAATATATTAATTCATGAAAACTTGGCTTATTAGTCAAATCGGGCCTTGCATAGTAGGCTGAGAAGTGCGTTCTGGCTATTAGGTACGACATATATATATATATATATATATATATATATATATATATATATATATATATATATATATATATATATATATATATATATATATATATATATATATATATATATATATTAGTATATTTTGGTAGCAGTCTTTCCTGTAGACATATATTATTAATATGACCGAAAAAGTAAGATTAATAATTCTAACACGAATTTTCTCGATCTTTCGTACATTTCTTTTCACTGTTGGTGGTAATTCAAAAGTCAATTCTCCAAAATTCATTTTTATTTCTAGTCTGACGCGACACTTAGCGCGTTTCGTAAAACTTATTACATTTTCAAAGACTTTAGTTTACACGTACACAACTGAATAGAACTTACACATCTCCGATTTGTTTATATCTACATTTGAGTGAGGTGGATGGGGTGAGGTGGTATTAATAGGGTATTAATTTCATCAACACAAGACAGAACACGAAACAATGGGTATTGAATGGAAGTGATTGTAGAAAGCCTATTGGTCCATATTTCTTGATGCTTCTATATTGGAGCGGAGTCTTGAGGTGGGTAGAATATAGTTGTGCATTAATTGGCTGTTGATTGCTGGTGTTGACTTTTTAATGTGTAGTGCCTCGCAAACATCAAGCTGCCTGCTATCGCTGTATCTATCGATGATTTCTGTGTTGTTTACATCGATAGATACAGCGATAGCAGGGTTGCTCTTACGTCCAACAGATGGCGCTGTTTAAAAAGAAACTGTTTTTTCCTGTCACAGGTAAGGCATGTATATAGAAGATATATAAAAAGACGCGCCTTTTCGAATGCAACGTTGTATCAAAATTTCAAAGAAATTGGTAAAGAGGTTTCGAAGTTTTCCCTCACATGAAAACCCCAGTTTTCAGAAATAGCGATTTTTTTAACCGTCACAGACGTGACATCTATATAGTATGTATATAAAAACTTTCCTGGATGCGAATGGAACTTTGTGTCAAAATTTCAAAGAAATCGGAGAAGAACTTTCGGAGATTAGTGGTTATGCACAAATGAACATTACCATTAATGTTTATATAGATTTGATAGAAGCATTTGATTGAAAATTTCATTACCTACAACTCAGTGTGTTCGAATTACAGGTTTTAACTGGATTATGTTCTAGCTCGGTGCCGCCAAATTCATTGTTGGTTCAGGAGGCTACTGGTTGAGAAAATTTTAATGTATTGGTGTCCATGGGTACAGCGTGAAACTAGGAGGACAAAGGATGCTGTTTAACAGCAACAATTAAAAATAATGATATCCCTCATTAGTGTTTGGAAGTGAAGTCATGCAATCAGATATGTGTAAATCCTCTTTATTATTTGAATCCACTTCCCAAAAAATTATGAAGATTAATATTGGTAAATTTCAATGGTGAATATACCTGATGGAACTACGTTATTGAAGCTAAAACTAAATTATCTAGACTTTCTGATTAAGGCCACATAACAAGACATCATTCACATATTTTCGTCAATGAGAATTACTGTCTAATATTTAATTAACAACCTTAGTTTAAAATTACTCAAAATTGAAGTTAATTAACTGGCAGGAAAAGAATTTCCATTCTAATTCTATATATCGGAATAAATCAATTACCATTACATTTTGCAACATAATTCAATATTCACAGTATGAATTGCATTTAATTTAATTGAACTCATTAACTTAGTAACAGGATGCGTTAAAGCTTCGTTCGTATTTCTTACTCATTATAACTGTGGAGTACTTTTACGACGAGCATCATGGCGTTAATCTTGGAGTAGATCCCACTCAGGGTTGGATGGTTCAACAGAGAGTCGTCGGTGAGGACCAGAAGCCTTGTCGACGACACCAGGAGGCGGCCCTTGAGGGACCACTGGGCGAAGGTGGCGAGGAAGGCGAGGTCGTCGCTCACCACCACCACCGTCACGCACCACGACACCTGCCGCACCTGTTGACGTCAACATGGTAGACGGTTTGTGAGTGACCTACCCGCCTCTGTAGTGATGTGAGAGTGACCTACCTGCCTCAGTAGTGATGTGAGAGTGACCTACCTGCCTCAGTAGTGATGTGAGAGTGACCTACCCGCCTCAGTAGTGATGTGAGAGTGACCTACCTGCCTCAGTAGTGATGTGAGAGTGACCTACCTGCCTCAGTAGTGATGTGAGAGTGACCTACCTGCCTCAGTAGTGATGTGAGAGTGACCTACCCGCCTCAGTATTGATGTGAGAGAGACCTACCTGCCTCAGTAGTGATGTGAGAGTGACCTACCCGCCTCTGTAGTGATGTGAGAGTGACCTACCCGCCTCTGTAGTGATGTGAGAGTGACCTACCCGCCTCAGTAGTGATGTGAGAGTGACCTACCTGCCTCAGTAGTGATGTGAGAGTGACCTACCTGCCTCAGTAGTGATGTGAGAGTGACCTACCTGCCTCAGTAGTGATGTGAGAGTGACCTACCCGCCTCAGTATTGATGTGAGAGAGACCTACCTGCCTCAGTAGTGATGTGAGAGTGACCTACCCGCCTCAGTATTGATGTGAGAGAGACCTACCTGCCTCAGTAGTGATGTGAGAGTGACCTACCTGCCTCAGTAGTGATGTGAGAGTGACCTACCTGCCTCAGTAGTGATGTGAGAGAGATCTACCCGCCTCAGTAGTGATGTGAAAGTGACTTATCCGCCTCTGTATTGATGTGAAAGTGACCTATCTCACGTCAGGTAATATGTGAGCTGGTTGGGGGTTTAAACCCGAAACGGAGCTCTGGATGTTGCACCAGTCTGTTACGTGCATGGAAGTGGACAGCGTCCCCAACCACTCCATAATAGAACAACAGCCGACATCGGCAGCCACACTCCCACTACCGTCGGTCGACCAGCAATGGACATTGGGTTGCTTGCAATTTACCTAGGAGATCACCCTTTACGCATCTTTATCTCGGAGAGGGGTTCCAGCGGCACCTATTTAGGGGTCTGACTTCAAAACTGGCCTCGTTGTCTTGTCGGAAATCCGACACATGTTAACATACTACAATTACCCATTAGAAATTAGAGAATGGGATTGCGTGACGTTATCAACACCACGTAAATATATTAACTCTCATTTCTTTTAAAACTTCAGTCTAGTGTTTAAACTTAATAAAATTGTATTCAAAAGGTCTGAATATAATTAAATACACCAGGAATATAGCTTGGCTCCCTATTCATTATGACATAAATAGAGCCAGCAAATATTATTGGACGTCACCCCACAGGGAAGAGCCAGTCACGTAGTCCACACAGAATGTAAAAAGATACATGAAACAAGGGCTCCTGGAGAATTTGCGACATACGTCACGCACGATAGACAACTTACTCTATCCTAGTGAACTGCCACAGCAACACCTCAACAACAGGAGTGTTTGAATACCTGACTGCCTTATATTCTTTTATTAATAGTAATCACTATGTATTATGGGAATGAGTAGGATTGATGAGATTTCGTTATAAGCACACGAAAACCACAAACACAGGTTTGTGTTTTTTTTGTTGGCCTTCCTGTAAATAGAGGCCACAGTGCTAGGCGCCATTTCATGAACTCTGAAGCACATATAGCCACACCCTAAACAGATGTTGGGAGAAACACAACCTAATTAGGCCATCTCTACCAAACAGCTCAGACATTCTAAATTGTATAATAATATAATCATAAGATTGAGTAGTGCTAACAATATTAGTAGAGTAGACCACCATATGTAGTATAATTTATATTTTGCAAAAGGTAAACAGTTGTAGATTATATCCACTCATAGTGATATAAGTTACAATTGTCCCTCCAACTATGTGTATATAAGATTCTGGCAGGCAGAATCAGAATATACATCCCACTAGCATCATAATAATACAATATTGAAGTTAACAAAAAATAGAATAACAATAAATAATTGCCTGCTAGGAGTTTCCCACACTTGCGTATACACGCTGCACAAGCCACCATGACTCCCCCACTCTCTCTTTGTTTGCAATGATCTCCTAAATCTCCTTTTAGTGAATTAATATCTTCTGTCACCCTGTCTACAGCCGTGACCCACTCTCTCTGGCTTTCTGAGAAATTTCACCAAGACAAGAACAAAAACCAGCTAACATATAGAACATTTAATACATAAAAACGCACATAAATCATTGACATATAACATACAATATTACCATACAACCCTCACTACTGCTACAACCAGGTAGCACTCCAATACCTTATCCTGGCTTCCCCAAATATTCATATCAGGTGGCAGCACAGCTCTTGGCTGGCAACCTTCTATTCCCCTCACTGCATGGGGCTGAAATACATGTCACAACAATACTGTATCTTCAACCATAAAAGAGTATGAAACTCTGCTTGGGGGGCTGAAATACCTGGAACATCTATATAGGTATCCCCTAACAAAAGAAATCAATCCCTCACCTACTACTGCGTCTTACAAGCCAATAAGCATTTCAAGCACTTCCCTCATAAATTAATGTGTCCCCATGATCCTCTGCTCTGCTCACAGAGGATCATATCAACCTAACCAGTATGAATTGGCAGTGGCTCATTTCCAATTCATATAACTAGGTCCTCCAAAATCAGGAAAGGCACTTATGCAGTTCTCCCAAATCTGCTGCACAACGAAGTCCTACTCCAACATCAGTAACGTTCTCCACTGGTTCCACAAAGAAACATGTAGCTTCCCTACACTGCTTGAAGTCCAATTCCTCACTATGGAGTTTTGCTGTACCTCAGAGTTCAGCATACACTTCTACTCCATCCTCGAAGTTCCTCCATTAACTTCTTCCCACTCAAACCGCAGAAATCCATGATTTCTTTTTTTGGGGGGAGAGATGCTCACTCTCTGGCACTCAACAAGGCGCTCACACAGGCCGTCCACAAAAATCGCTTTAGGGCTGCCTCACAAGGCTTCCTCCATTCATGACTTGAGTACACGGAGTCGCCTGGTAGTTTCCACACAGAAATGCCTGCTTACTTCCTTCCTCTTGATGGAGGACACAATTAGAGTTCTACACAGGCACGAACAACCACTCACTTTCACGCCGACTTTAATATATTCAAATCATAGAGAAATAGTGTACAATGTCCTCAACAGCTTCCTCACACAAGTAGCCTTCCCTTTACCGCAAACACACGGCATTATATTCTTCCATCTTCCAGAGGAGCAACGAAGTACGACCATCTCTGACGACTGCTGTGACTGGAGTAAGGCCATGACGTCCTGCTAGCGTCATGTCACGTCATCAAAGTATCGACATCTCATTTCATGTCACTCTTATTACAAGCTCATCCTCTGCTCGTATTCTTCAATTACTCACTGATGTTTATTATATATTTTCTTCCTCTGATCTCTTAATTTCTGGTCTGGAATGCAGAATAACTCTCACTGGGTAGACTGGTTCCACCAGGTTACATGTGGTCATAACACCTACCCGCCTCAGTAGTTATGTGAGAGAGACCTACCCATCTCAGTAGTGATGCGAGAGAGACCTACCCATCTCAGTAGTGATGCGAGAGAGACCTACCCATCTCAGTAGTGACGTGAGTGTGACCTACCCTTCCCGGTAGTGATATAAGTTTGACCTACCCTACACAGTAGTGATATGAAAGTTACCTACCCGCCTCATTGGTCATGTGAGAGTGACGTAAATATCTCATTAGGGATGAGAGGGACGTACCCACCACAGTAAACATGTGAGAGAGACCTACCCGCCTCATTAAGTAGGTGAAACCAGGCCAGAAGCGAAGCGTTTTGGATTTTGCAATACTTCATTTCAGGCCCCTATATTTTTTGCAATGGGGATTAAAAGGCTTCCTCTTGGTTCCAGCTATTTTGCCTAAGGGTATTATTTGAACGCCTCCAGTCATCCCGAAATGTGCTTACCTCAGTAACCTGCACTCAAAAAGTCATATAAAATGGTCAATGATGACATCAACCAGCCAGTCTCCATCTTCCTTAGCAAGGTCCGTTTTCTGTGACAGCGTTTTTAATCCCATTTTCATATTTATTCTTTTATTATCAATATTTATTATCAATATATATATATATATATATATATATATATATATATATATATATATATATATATTAT